ATAAAATAGAGAAAAATTCTAAAGGTACACAGTGTACACACTTTTTACACATGTCTGTGTACAGTTTTTTTTATGTCTGTACAGACATAACGTATTTTAAAAATACGTTGGTTTAAGGTTTCAGCTGTTGGGTCTAACAAGCTAAACCAACTATCCATTAGTAAACAATAAGGGTGATAAGATGGTACGGTAAAAATCATTAGTTATAGTCAAAGAAGCCAAAAATTGCTAGTAAGTCTTTTTCCTAAGACGCCATAGGCAAAAACAAAAAAATACAACCATACGGAATTTACACTATTTTACTGAGAATGTACACTCTTTTTATAGTCAAAGAAGCCAAAGTTACTATAACTATACTCCGTATTTAATTTTACACTATAGTGATCATCATGTTACACTTATCCAACTGTAGTCATACTATTATCGAAGAATTTAATTTCAGTAATATTTCGGGAAAATCTCATTTCCATATAAAGTACTACCTCCGTCCCGCTATGATTGTCCCATTTTATCTTATCGGTTCGTCCCAATAAGATTGTCACATATTAAATTAGGTAAAGTTTGTGTGGCTCTAAATCATTCTTACTTTATTCTTACTTTATCAATTCAATATCAACCACATAAATCACTTTTTATTAATTTGTGTGTCACTCCCTTTTGTTCCATTGTTAACGGGACGGAGGAAGTAACCAATATATGGCTAAATTTATTATTCCCTTCTCTATACAAATATCAACCAACAATTTTTACTTTATTACTTTACGTGCAAATCAACATTGACTATGTGACGAGAAGTAATTGTTACTCCATAATAAAGGAGGAGAAATGTTCACAATTTGAATGAATATAAATTGAAAGTATTTCACAGCTTCCTAAAACTAGAGCAACAATGACTGTAAATCCCATTAAATTCGATAGCAGCATATCAATCAAAGTCAACCAGTATACAAAAAAAACGACATATCTCCAGTTTTGCAGAAGCTCCTTTCTTTCTCTTCTTTTTCCTATCGCATCTTTTCGTTTGTCCTTTATGTCGTGGAAATACTCGAGGACAATTACTGCCACTATCAAATTATATTTTTGCCTTTTAGTAACCACACACCCAAATTCCAACTCTTCGAAAGTCCCATGCTAATCATAGCAATAAATTGTGTCAAATTTAGGGAGGAAACAAATACCAGAAGTTTTGTCATTTCGGTTTGAAGTGATTCAAAGAGTTTCTGAAGTTGATTTTCCTTACAACTACTCTCTACGAGTATTGAAACTTGAGAATCATAGATTTTTCAAAGAAGGACCGAGAACTAGGTCTCAATGCCATCACGAGATATGTGATGCGACAAGTTGAGTATTACACTTTACACCATTCAAGATTTTTAGATGGCTATTGAGAACAACATGTTCAAAGTCAACTTATCATCTTCAAGAAATACTGCCTCCTGGATAGAAGAAGTTGAAGAAGGCGAAATCGTTGTGAATCCTGAACTAGGGATGATCTACAAAGACTACAATGTCGTGAAGCGTATCCTTTTGATGGAAGAAATTCATAACTATTGTGATGGAACACTACACATTATTGAAGACTTCATTGTAGATTATGCAATCAAGTTTTAGAAGTCTGATCAATCCAAAGACCCTGCTCAAATCCGCCTCATTGATGATTTTGCTAACGCAATCAAGTTACGACTAGAACTCAGAAGAAGTTTGAGAGAATATGAAGTCATACTTGGCTATAGAAAGTCACTATACAAGTCTCAAAGATAATCTGCTCTGCATCGCCATTTGAACACAAAGGAGAAGATTTTTAGAACATTTTTTATTGTGTTTAAATTAATTGTAATTATCTTTATTAATTAGACCAATATTAGTGGGCTTTTTAGTTAAGGGAAAAGTAGGCTCGTTAATTTAATTAATTCACACGTGTAGGTTTCCTAATTGTAATAGAATGTTCGACTCTCTCTCCTATTAATAAAGGTAGAGGTGTGAATAAGCGTAAAAAGTTCCATAACTATTCCCGCACGTATCACTTTAGAGCTCACACTTTAATTTTTCTCTCTAAACTATTCATACGTATATCATGTATTCTTTGTCATATCATTATGAGTATACAGTATTGAAAGTTGATTGATTCTTCTTCTACATCAATTCTCTATATTACTATTTAGAAGTTATTCGACTGTTGATCTGGGAATTCACAAAATATATACACGTACAAATATGGAGCTTTTGCCACTTTTAGTCCTCCGACTATTATGTTATTGACACTTTTGGTACTCGACTTTGATTTTCTCCACTTTTAGTGCTCGACTATTGCGCTACAAACACTTTTGGTACTCGTCTTTGCAAATTTCCATATTTGGTCCTCCGACTTTCATAAAAGTGACACTTTTGGTCCTTCAACTATTATAATAAAGACATTTTTAGTCCTCCAGTTATTCTGTCAAATTAATAGTGGAAGGACTAAAATTGTCAACTTGATAATACTTATGAGACTAAATGTGGAAAACTTTGAAGTCAAGGACTAAAATTGTCCCTAAGTCCCTAACACAATAGTCGATGACTAAAATTGGAAAAATTAAAAGTCGGGTACCAAAAGTGTCAATGACACAATAGTCGGGGGATCGAAAATGGCAAAAACTCTGCAAATATGTTTCTCAACTTCTAAAAGTACAAGGGTACCTCTCGTGTGTCTATAAATTAGGATAGGAGTGAATTAGCCCTTAGCAATTTTGAAACAAATAATAAACATAAAAAAATAAAAATAAATTTTTTGTTCAGACAATAGAAATATTTAAAATGAAAAACTTAGTTTTCTTAAAAAATATAACAACGTATATATAAAAAAATAAAACAAATATTCCCTCTGTCTCGATTTAATGTTCCCACTTCAAAATGCACACATATTAAGAAAACGACATTGTTTGGACACTATATGATACTGTTTAATATTGTTTTGCACTGTTTTATTTACCATATAAGAAAGATGAATTTTTAAGGGACGTCTTAAAAAGGAATGTGAGAACATTAAATAGGGACGGAGTCATTAGTAAATTGGGTAAAAATTAGATTGATTTTACGTTAAAAAATTAACGATTTAATTTTCAATGGAAAAATTATTATTTTTCTTTTGTAAAGAAGCACTTCATGTAGTATTACTTTTTAGTCTTGTTGCAAATTTTGAACACATTGTTAATTAGTTTTTTTGAAATAAGATTCTCTAGTGTTGTTTAAACTTGATAAAATTAAATTCACTATTTTTCAATCTTAGACTATTTATTATCATACAAAATGTGTTACGTAAATTTTATCTTGCAAACAATACTAAATAATAATGATATTTTTCATTGCAACATGCCAACACCTATGTTAACACTTTTCTGAAAGAACCATACATATATAGTTAAATTTTGAAACAATTTTATATGCTAACAATACTAAATTGTGATAATAAGAGGGAGCATTGGATACAAATTAAACAGAAGTTATCTAAAATACTATTTTTTTTCAATTTACAAATTCAATATACAATATATTGACTTTTCTTGGTCAATGATAATCAACTTTGACCAATGATATATTTTAATATGAAATTATTTAGAATATGAAAATTATATCAAAATATTCGTTATTGAAAGTATTTTTATAAAAGTATAAAATTTGTAGATTAAATACAATTATAATAACTAAAATCATTGCTCAAAATTTGCCATCATTGATCAAGAAAAGTCAATTTGGCAAACCTATTCGGGACGGAGGTAGTATAACTTATTTTTTGTGGTTTTAAAATTTAGTTTCATTAGGATCGAATTTAGAGGTATATATATATATATATATATATATATATATATATATATATATATATATATATATATATTCACACATACACATATACTTAATACTTTAAAACACTCCCACCGTAATTAAAGTTCCCTACGTTCTCCTTTTTGGGTTGTATTTAAAAGTTCTATACACTTCCATTTTTTGTAAATTTACCCGTTATACAATACGGAGTACTCAACTACCTTTGTTTTATCTACTCCCTCCGTCCCATAATTAACTTCGATTTTGACTGGGCACGGGGATTAAGATAGTGGGATTTGTGTGGTGGAGAGTTGTGCAGAGGAGAGAGAAATGTGTAAGAATGGAAGTAAACCACATATTCTTTACCATAGAGAGAGTACTTTTTATTTTCTCTTTCATACTTTTACACACTTTCTTCTACCTTTTCGTCACTATTCACTACCCCTACTACTTTACACTTTAAATAGTGTGTCCAACCTAATGTGGTGAACATTAAAATATGGAGGGAGTATATATTTACATCTTTCACTTAATTAATATTGCAACTACTTCTTTGTTTAGAGTTTTTTTTGCATGTTCTTAACTACCGAGTCCTTCTTTTGTACTTAGTAGCATATATAATCCCACATTCCCACAGTAGCTTTTCAGTAAGTACAGTAACTATCCGATCTGTAAAGATTTTTATGCTTAATTTTAAAATAAGTAAGTGACCGAACCTAAGCTATTTAATTTTAGCAAAAAAAGAGGATACACCTCAATGCCCCCAACACCGACCAGACGATTAGATGAGAGGATGTAAATGGTACTTTAATCGCAAGCTGCCAGATAGAGAGTGAGACTTTGACTCTGATACTTGCAGAGGCTCTATGCATTTTAGCATAGTAACATCTCAACGCAGTACTTTAATCACAAGCTGCCGGATAGAGAGTGACAATTTTAGAGAGTGAGACTTTTACTGTATCATATATATGTCCGCAATTTCTGAATGACTAGCTAGCATTCTTTGCATGGATGAGCCCTATGAACAATAGTTGCAGTGCAACAGCAAGTGATGACGGACTAACCGACCAACCCAAAGACATCACCTTTCTCTCCCCACCCGTGCACATAAACACACATACCTATTACCTCACTCTCACATGAACTACATTCACTATAAATACACCTATTCTCATCTTTCACTCTCCTAAAATATTCCATTCCAAAATACAACGTTATTAGTTCTTTCCTCGTTTCTACTTTCTAGTATCTGTGTGCACGTAAAAAACCTAGAGAAAAAAAACCAAATGGAAGAAACAATGAGGAGATTCAATGGTCTCGCCCATTCCTCGGGCTTTAGTGTTCCCAAGAGATGCGATGGCCTCACCCTCTCGGCAACAACCGCTTCCGGAGCTGCCACCAGGGCCGCCGCCGCTGATTCCGCCGGAGCACCAAAAATAAAGTACCGGGGAGTGCGCCGGCGCCCGTGGGGACGCTACGCGGCTGAGATCAGGGACCCTCTGTCCAAGGAGAGGAGGTGGCTGGGTACCTTTGACACCGCCGAGGAGGCCGCCTGCGCTTATGACTGCGCCGCCAGAGCCATGCGCGGGGCCAAGGCGAGGACAAACTTTGTGTACCCGCCGCCGCTGCCCTCCGGTTGCGCCAACGGGTTCAGTCTACCTCTCTGCTCCGGCCGCAGCAAGACCGCCTCTTCGTGCCAGCAGATTTCTCTCAAGGATTTGCCGTCCAAGCAGTTCTTTCAGTCCACTTTCTCATCAAACGCGGCATACAATAACCTTTCGTCGACAAGGAAGATGGTGAGCAAATCTCTGAACTCTCTTCTTGGAAATGATTATCTCAGCTCATCATCAACAGCGACTACTCCGAATATCAACTGCTACCAAACCACCCCCGGCGAAACAATGGACCATCAATTTTACCGGGAGCCGGTGAAAGATGCCAGCTTTAACATGGAATGGACAGGAATGGACTTCTTTCCGGCAGAACCCTCGGACTCCGGCTTGCTTGAGGAGGTGCTCAACGGGTTCTTCCCAAAACCCACACCGGTAAAATTTGACCAATCACCGGCCGGCGGTTCTTTCGGCGGCGACGAGAAATCTAACAGCAAGTTTGGAGTACTTCAAGGGCAATTTGGGTATTCCGGTGGTGGGTTAGATGATTCGCAGCAGCAGCCGGTGTCTTTTCAGTTCCATAATGACTTTCCGGCGAACTTTCAGGTGTCCCCTGAAACAATGTTGGGGGACATGCTTTACCAGTACCAGCAGGACCCTGCATTGAGTGTGTTCCATTATTGCTAATTACGGAGTAATTAATTAAGCTAGGTTCAAAAATCCTGCATGATATGTTAGAATTGAAGGCCACCTCTAGCTATCTAGGTAGCTGCTAGCTTATTAAACAACTTTATTTTCTTCGGACTAGTTAATTTCGCAAGGAGACAACATGATGGTTTCTAGTAAAGTTCAGTTTCGTCTTTAATTCGGAGTAAATTAAAGTATCCAAACTGACAACTACTGTATTCAGGACTGTTTGGAGCCGAGTATGTGTGTTGAACTAGTTGACATAAAATATCAAAATTTTAAGGTGCCTACAATCTCTCAAGGTTGTTTGTCTTAAAGAACATGAAATTTCAAGAATTTGAGCACAAATTGTAATTTAAATACCCCAGTGGGCCTTTAAAATTATTGGACCAAGTGTGATCATTATTGAACCTCTTTTGAATCATATTGAGCCTCTTTTTAGTGCTATTGGATTAGTGTTGATTTCTATTGGATCATTCATGATAATTGTCGGGCCTTTTCAAAAAGGAAAGAATTAATACAGGTCTGTTCGAATAAATTTAGTTATTAAAATAATTTGGGTCATTTAAAGAACAACATCATCATTCAAGCTTTAATCCTAAAAGAATTGAGATCGACTAACATGAATCGATCTGATATATCGATGCCAAATAGATAAGACGGACAAGAAAGGGAAGAAAAAAAGAGAGGAAAAAGCGAGTAAAATAAAGCTAAATAAATACTCCCTCCGATCCTAAATAAAGTTCACATTTCATTTTTGGGCCGGTCCAAAATAAAGTTCACATTTCTTTTCCCTTCTTTATTTGACAAATTATCTACATCAAAACAGTGTCAAGCAGTGTCAAACTGTGCCAAATAGTGTCACACTTCTTTTTCCTTCTTTATTTGGCAAATTATCTACATCAAAACAGTGTCAAGCAGTGTCAAACTGTGCCAAATAGTGTCACAACATTGTACTCTACAATAAAGTCAAATTTATTTTCTTAATTTGTGTCAAGTCAAACATTGAACTTTATTTAGGACTGGAGGGAGTATAAGATAACAATAACAGAAGAATAAAAAAGATAAAAGATAAAAAATAAAAGAGTATAAAAAGCTAGAAGATAAAAATAAAATAAGAATTTAAAAAGATAAAGAAGATAAACGATAAAAGAAAAAATAGAGGAATGGTAGAAAAGACATCAATCCTCCACATGGATGTGCGCCATCCACTTTGTTCTTTCCAAAGTCATACTCCCATCCAACCCAAGAAGACGTACATCAGTTCTGATTCCTCTAATCCAAGTCTGTTTGGGTCTTCCCCTCCCTCTCTTCTTTGTCTCTTCTCCCCCTCAAGTCGTCTAACAGGTGCATCACTCGGTCTTCTACGCACATGTCAAAACTACCACAAACAAGACTCCTGCATCTTATCTTCTATAGGTGCTACTCCCATCTTTTGTGTGATTACCTCATTCCTCAAGCAGTCTTTTCTGGTATGTCCACACATCCAACACAACATACGAATATCTGCCACACTCATCTTTTGAATGTGGCATTGCTTCACCCCCAACACTCTACGCCATACATTAATGCAGGCCATCATCAAATAGTTGCTAAATACTCCCTCCGTCCCTGAAAATACTTCCAACTTTCCCTTTTCGTCCGTCCCAAAAAGAACTTCCCTTTCCTTTTTTGGCAAAGAATTTGTCGTTCACAACATTTCTCTCTCCTCTGCACAACTCTCCACCACACAATTCCCACTTTCTTAATTCGCGTGCCACTTTATTTTGGAAGTAAATTATGGGACGGAGGTAGTATATAAATTAAATCTTTCAAAGAATGGATTGGTCCTATTAATATCTCTATCTTGAGCCCATCATCAAATAGTTGCAATGAATTTGGTTAAGAAATACGTTTATATGCAAGCTCAAGATCATAAATTGAATGATCTGAATAACAAAGTAGAAAGCTTGAAAGGTGAGTCGAGTCATGCTCCTGAGAAGTATCCTGAAGTGCATGAAGATAATGATTTTCACCAAGAGAATTCAGAGAAGAATATCTCAACCTCCGGGGGCATGATCCCGATTGATCAACTCAAAGACTTTATCATGAGAACCATCAAGGGGAACATAGGAGGAAGTCAATTTATGTTGGTCCCGGTTGTACTGGATACAGTTTAGGGGGGGGGGGGGGGTTGAATAGACTGTATTGGTTTTTAACTTTTTTCAAGCTAAGTACCAGATTTAACAGATTAGCCTGTTCTGTTGGTAGAACAGACTGGCAGCGGATGGGGTTCTGGTAGGGGGTTCTGTTATTTTAGCCTCAGAGAAGCAAAGGCAGTAGACCTTCTGTTCACTCACAAGACAAGTTCTGCTGAACACAGAGATCAAGTCTTTGGAGTTAAACAGTTCAAATAAAAACAATAAATAAATGCAGTAAGTAAAAGACACCAGGGCTTTTTATAGTGGTTCAAGGAACAACTTGTTCCTCTAATCCACTGTTCCACTAAGCTTGTAAAAACGTCCGTTTACAACGCCTTAGTCCTATCACTTAAGAAGCTCTCCACGTCTTCTTCAGTGTAGATGTCTCCTGGGATGCACTTCCTGGCTTCCTTTAAGACTGGTCCTTTCACTGTGCTTCCCGGAAGTATCACCACTTCACTGCTCCAGGTACTTGGACGTCCTTCTTGTGAAAGAAGAGTTTCTGTTAAAACAGGGGTTCCTCAAACTTGCTTCATTACAAAAGATTTGTAGATGAAGAGCTTGGAGAGTTGAAGAATGACTAGAACTTTGCTTGAGTTGGAAGTAAGAATCTTTCCAACGTCTGCCTTCTCTTGAAGAAGATAATGAAGATTTAATCTCAAGGAGGCTTTTTGCGTTTTCAGCGTTTGAATGTTTTTGTATTCGCACTGTTGTAGCAAAGTTCTCCGGTTGTTCTTCATAGTGTATCTTTTATACTGAGGTTGTCTTCCCGTTGGAGGAGAAGGAGGACAACTGCATTAAATGTGTGAGCAGTTGACTTGACTAGTAGGACCCAGCAAAGTTGGCGGGTTACTATTTTGGGATAAAGCTATCCTGACATTGCGGCCAATCATCTGCATTTACTCTACAGAGTACGGGAGGCATTAAATGTGCATTTAATGCGCGTACTGTAGCTTTTCCGTTCAAGTTTCCTAGCCATTGAGGGAATCTTCAGTTGGATTACCGGCTTGGTGAAATTCTCTAAGTGTCAGGCCTTCTGGTGTCTTCAACAGAGAGTCGATCAGAGAAGGTCTTGAGCACTTCTGTTGGAGAAATGTTCAACAGAGAACCAGGAGGGTTTCTGTCCGTGTAAAGGCTAACAGAGACCCAGAGGTCTTCTGTTCTGAAGCAGAGAGCCAAAGGTCTTCTGTTAATACAAAGCCTATCAAAGGTCTCCTGTCAGGAGGTCTTCTGTTCTGGAGGCCTTTTGTCAGTCGACTATACTAAGGAACTTTACAAGGGAAATTCTAAAATATTAAATCAAAAGAGGGGTACTCTAAAGTCCTAATTAATATAGCATCATCAAAATCTAATTACAATTATTCCTTACAATTTCCCCCTTTTTGATGATGCCAAAACCCTTTAACAATATTTAGAGAAGTGCCTTCACCATAACAAGTTAAAGTTTAAACCTTTCATTAAAATCTTGGTGGGCAACTTGGCATAGGAAAATAGTAAGAGTACAGTACATTCAGACAGCAGATAATAAATCAAAGCACACAAGAAGAGACAAAGAACAGTAAGAGGTAAATAGGGAGAAATAGTCTTACAAAGTGAAAGGCATAGATGTGATTTTATTAGAGATAGTTTACAGAATAGTTTCCTTACACATTCTCCCTAGTGGCTGCGGCCAAGGCTTCATCTTCCAGTCTTTGAAGCCTTTGCAGTTCTTCATTGATTTCTGCTCTAATCTGAGATAGGTTACCAGAGATTTGATAAGAGGCCCAGATAGGAGATAGCTTGCAATCCAAGTAGCAAAGAACTCCTTCATGAATTGTCTTGCCAAGGACAATGTTCTTCTGGTACCAATCCTATGCTTCTTCTAAGGATCCCCCATGTCTGACTCTTACATAACCATCTCTATCCAAGAAGAGGTTATGTTGCTGTGTTAGAGTCATTTTTAGTTTCATTTCTTCAAATTGAACTTTGTCAATTTTCTGGTATCCACCCAATCTCCAATCAGTAAAACTGAGAATCTTCTTCTTCTTGGAGACCTTCTTAACTGGAGATGGGGGTCTGGGTATACCGGCTGCTCTTTTCTTCTGTATAGCAGCTTCAAAGTAGGGTGCAGGATCAGTAGTTAGTTCAGCAGAGGGTGCAGCTCTTGCAGAGGCTCAGGTGGATCGAGGCTTAGGCTGTTGAGGATCCTCTTCCCCCTTTTTGGCATCATGAAGGTCCTCTAGCATGAGCCTGATCTTCTGGAACTCTGAGGCCTATGATGTGGCTATCTGCTCAATGGCCTCTGGTGACAAAAGTGAGTCTTTCTATCAGCCCTTGCTTCTATTGGATGGCAGAGAAGATATCTTTGTTGTTGGCCTCCAATAATACCATCTTTTGGTATCTGTCTCTGTCAGCAGTGAGGAGATGTTGGGCTTGATCTTGGTGGACTGCACATTTCTTCAATGGTTAGCAATGGTTTCTTAGTCCTGTGATCAGACCTTTGAAGAGTCTCAAGGTTCTCAGATATGGTGTTAATGGCCTTACCTTGAGCCAACAGAGTCTGGTGAAAAGTGAAGAGAGTCTTATGAATACTGTCCACTTCATTTGAGAGTGCATCTGTTCTGGCAGTGGATGAAGCAATGAAATTGTTGAGGGATTCAGTGAGAGTAGCAAAGCGGCCTTAAATGAACTGCATTCCAGAGTTGAGGTTTTCATTCACATGGGAGAGGTGTTCGAAGTGCTTTTCATTGATCTGAATAAGTTTGTCCATCCCTTCCAGTACCTGACCACCAAACTCTTCTGCGGTCTGAACAAACCTATTGAAAGAAATTTGTGGTTCTGACTCTTCAAAACCAGGCATCCCCAGTCCCCTTGACTTGGGCATGGGAGCCCATCTAGGAATGTTGTCTTGAGCAGATGAAACTTGTTGTTGCTGAGCTTCATACTCAAGCTGTGTCAAAGGAGGGGTCTTCTGTCTCTTGGATGAGTCTTCATTTGGTTTGCTGACGATGAACCCACCCATGCTTGAAGAGTCCTCATAGGAGGAGTAGATGGGTATTGTGTTCCTGACAACACGCGTCT